TACATTGACTCCAGTCTGACTGCTATGATTGTCTTGGTACATTGACTCCAGTCTCACTGCTACGATTGTTCTAATACACTGACTCCAGTCTGACTGCTGTGATTGTCCTAATACACTGTCTCCAGTCTGAATATTTTTAACGATTTCTTTTTGTAGCTTCGGGATTTGAAGCACGACAACATCAATCCATTCGTTGGCGCATGCGTTGACCCTCCTAATATCGCTATTGTGTCAGAGTACTGTAGCAGGGGCAGTCTGCAGGTAAGGCAAACAGTTCACCAAAGAACAGAAAACATTTAATCAACTGTATTTTGTGCTGAAAACGAAATTAGACTTTGACATAGAGGTTCTTAGATAGTTCCGAGACTAATTTGCATATTTATGGCTAAAACACCTATTGTCATGTGACCGAGGAATCGAAATATTAATAATAAATATGCTTTTTTAACTTTTGGAGCGGGGGTAATACTTCGCTGCAATATGTATCCGTTCAGACTTGTATTTCTTTTCTTTGGCATGAAGACAATACTTATTGACAACATATATTGTCCCCAGTTGAGAAGAAATATTATATTTTCTAATGTTTTTTTATTAATACAACTGGCATATCGGGTGCTTTTCAGGATATTTTGGAGAATGACGAAATCAATCTTGACAATATGTTTAGGGCTGCGCTGGTCGGAGACATTTTGAAGGTGAGTAAGTGTACGCATGCGCATAACTTATAGGCGCTTTTGTTGTTATTTAATTAAATATTTCGGAGCTACGTCTCCTTCTAGATATTAAGCATATTTACATATTACGCGACTTTGTGAGTTTCCGAAATACCAGCTCCTGTGATCACAGTGAATAAATGGTAGCCAGGAAATACCAACATATATCGCAGGAATGCTGTCTAACTTATGTAAATGTATAATTCAAACAGGGTATGATCTACATACATAACAGCAGCTTCAAATCGCATGGAAACCTGAAGTCATCGAACTGTGTAGTTGACAGCAGATGGGTGCTGAAGATTACCGGGTTTGGTCTGACCAATTTGAAAGAAGGGGCGAAAAAGGATATAAATGAAATAGGCGAACACGCCTTCTACCAAAGTAAGCAGAATTATTGTTCGTGTCCATGATATACCTATATATTACTTTTTCTTCGCTTCAATGCAAGCACAATTCAAAGGTTATTAGTCCCCGTTCGGACGAAGTCCGAAAACGGGGACTTATAATTCGGTCTCCGTCCGTGCGTCTGTGCGTCCGTGCGGAGTCATATCTCAGAATCCCTTGGACCGATTCCGTTCATTCTTTGCATGTGCCTAGTACTTTATCTGGGACATATGCACATGCAGTGGTTTAGCGATTCGATTCAAAATGGCCGATTGGCAGCCATCTTGTTTTTTGAAAATGTTGTATTTTGGACATG